ATATATANATANATATATATATATATATATATATATATATATATATATATTATATATATATATATATATATATATATATATATATATATATNTNTATATATATATATATATATATATATATATATATACTGCAATTGTTGTTTATTTTTACACTTGTACTTTTTATGGTTTCTGGGATATACTTGTGAGTCAAGCATATTTCAAGATGTTTTGATTGCAACATTTTCCTTTTTCGGCATATCTTTCCATACTATTGCATTTTGATCTCTTGTTGAATGAACTATCTGATGATGCCGCTCATTTGAAGATTTGTACGTCTAATTCTTTGTTTCTCATCTGATCGGATACAGGTCATGGTCTGTTTCAGGGATCTTCACCAACAGCCAATGATTTTAATAATGATCGATTGCAGGAGATGTATATGAATTTGGTCCAGCAACAGGTGCAAGCGCAGCAGGCATTGCTGAATCAGCAACACCAACAAAGCCTAAACTTGCAACTGGGAAGTACTCCTCCCATTGATTTGGGGGACATAAACATGACTTTGAACGGCCAAATGGGCATGTCAGACGTCTCACAAGGTCAGAATGCTCAGCTTAACGCGTTCGGCAACCCGCAAATGCATGGGCAGGGATTGGGAGATGGCAGCGAGCAAGCGCAGACACAAGCACAGGCTCAAGTACAGCAGCAGCAACAGCAACGGCAACAGCAACAGCAACAGCAACAACAACAGCAACAGCAACAGCAACAGCAACAGCAAATGGAACATATGCAGCAAATGCAGCATATGCAACAGCAACAGCAGCAGCAACAACAGCAACAGCAACAGCATCAGCATCAACAACAACAACAACAACAACAACAACAACAACAAGCCCAAGAGGCTCAGCAGCAACAACACCAGCATCAGCAAATGCACAGGAGTGACAGCACCAGCAGTGCGATTCATATGCTCACCAGCGACCAAGCACATAACACGCCAAGACCCATATCGCCCAATGAGATGCGAGCACAGACACAGCAACATGGACAGGTTACATTCGGGATGGGGAGCATGGATAATATCAGCCAAAGCATGTCTTCACCGAGGAAATCAAGCGTTGGTACACAATCGTTGCACTCACAGGGACATTCACAGTTGCAGCCCCAGAGACAGAATAGCACGGCTAGTGTGACTACTGTGCCCACACAGGCACAAACGCAGCAGCAACAGCAACAGCAGCAACACCAGCAACAGCAACACCAGCAACAGCAACAGCAACAGCAACAGCAACAGCAACAGCAGGCCCTACAACAAGCACAAGCTCAGGCTCAGGCCCAGGCACAAGCACAAGTACAGGCACAGGCACAGATGATGGGGATCCCAATGCCACCAGGAGGCATGCCTGGTATTGCCGGTCAACCCAATCAGCTGCAGATGCACGAGTTTATGCGCATGTATCAGCACTTGCTGGCCAATCCCGCGGTGATGACTGCTATGGCGGCTGTGTATGGAGCTATGAACCAAACCCCCGGTGCTGTGGGTATGTCGCAAATGCGCTGTATTTGGTTATAAAATGATATATAGTAAGTTGTCCTTATAGTATATGGAGCTACGAACCAAGCCCCCGATGCTGTAGGTCGCAAATGGGCTGTGTTTGGTTATACAATGTTATATAGGACTTTGTCCTTGTAGTTTATGGTATTTTCCTCCGCATGACTGCGTCGCCTTGGCAATTTCGCTTAACATTCACGATCCCAATTCTTCGACAAATGTGTAGGTAAACTTGCGTGTTCAATAGATATACCAACTCTAAAACCCTAAACCCTAAAAATCCTGCAGGTATACCGCCTGGATCAATGCCTACAATCCCGGGTGCACTTCCAGGTGCGTTGCCCGGGTTACCAGCAGGCTTTCACATGCCGGGAGGCTTACCGTCAATGCCAGGGATGAACGGACTGCCTAGTATGGGATTCATGGCGCCAAATGCCATGTCCACGCAGCCGAATCTACCTACCGGACAAGGCCAGAGCCATTCCACACTCACGCGTATCAATAGTGCGCCTCAGAACTTGGTAGGAGCCGATGAAGCCACACAGGGCACAGATGCACAACTCAACGCACAGACACACGCACAAGCACAAGCACAGAGCGGGGCACACTTACAGCCCCATCCGAGTGGAGGATTGGGAGCTCAACAAACGCAGCAGCAACAAGCCCAGGCCCAGGCCCAGGCACAAGCACAAGCACAGGCCCAGGCTCAGGCACAGGTACAGGCACAGGCGCAGTTGCAACTACAGCAGCAGCAACAGCTCCATCACCACCAGCAACAGCAACAGCAACAGCAACAGCAACAGCAACAGCAACAGCAACAGCAACAGCAACAGCAACAGCAACAGCAACAGCAACAGCAGCATCAACAGCAACAGCAACAACAGCAGCAGCACATGCATCAACACGGGCCAAAGCCCATACAGCCTGCACCGCCGGGCCTGACGCACAGCGGGAGTGGGACCAGTCGCAATCCAGCTGCGGACGATGGTACTACGGCCAAGGGAGCCTCAGGCGCAGGCAACGGCACAGGCGCAGGGGAAAATGCCACAGCCACGGCGGGTGGGGGGCTAGCTGGTAATAGTAGCAACGGCAGCAATGGCACCGCAAATAGTGTCACTATGAACATGCAGACGCCGGGGGTGGCCGGGGGGGGTATGAGCTCCAGTCTGCCTACTGCGGGTATGCACACCCCCGCGCACGCGCAGACGCACGTGCAGGTCCATAATCCACACATGCAGACCCATGGACACTCACAGTCACACCCCCACTTACACGGTATCATGCCCATCGCACGCGTGCGTACCATCAGCTCGTCGAGCGTCAACACAGTCATGGGTCCGCCCGCTCCCGTGCTAAGGCCGGCGGAGCAGCCGGTTGCCATGGCCACGGAGGGAGTGGGCAGTGAGATGGTGCGGTCGAGTAGTGCCGGCAGTTTGACGGGCGACGGGAAGAAGCCCAAGAGCACTATCACACAGCGCTTCGAGCACTTGCAGGCGTCTCTGCCGTCGATGAGGAGGCGAGGGCTGACCAACAAGCTCAGCAAGTCGGCTGTGTTGTTTCAGGTATTGGCGTATCTACGGGCCTGTTGGTATGGCTGTGTGTGTTTGGGGTGATGCCTTAATGAGTGTCTTTGTGCGTGGTTGCTCGTGTGTGTTTGTGTGCGGAGCTGTGCGTGCATAGCGCTTTGGGTATTTTCAGGCAGCGGGAGTTGACGAACACGCTGTTCGACTTTATTAGCCTAGGTGGGATATGTGTTGATATCTGTGTGTGGACAGTTGTGTCTCCGTGTGTGCTTGTGTACATGAATGTATCAGTGTATGTGCAGCGCCTGAAACCCTTGTATGTGACAGCGCCTGAAACCCTTGTATGTGACAGCGTGCCTGTGTGTGTGGTGACATACTGCTCTGACGCAGAGTGTGCGCATATGCTCAGCTAGTCCACTTTGCGGGGGTTACAAGGCTGTTATGCACATGTACAAATATACACATATACGCATAGGTTTATTACCGTACTTAGGTTTACATATAGTGTTCCATTTTGCTGTATGTCTACTAGCATTAACAAACAGCGCCAACTTCAAGGGTGCAGATAACATTCATCGTGCTGATATTCCAGCTCGAACGCTTCCTAAGGTCGATTCTCATTACAAGTACAAACTAGAAGAAAAATTTATTGCCGATTTGATAAAGAAGCACTACATGTCAACACGGACATTATCCATGTGTTATATCATGTGTATATCTGATGAATCCCACCTTAGAGTTTCCCTTTCAGAATGCACTACAAGTCATTGCAAGCACTCGTTTGATACACAATATATACATATATGCTGAACTCTTATCTTATCTATACGAATCCTATGCTGAATGTTGGCCTGGAACACAGGCTGTGGATCACATTAGCAAGTTAGAACGCACGGCCGATGCGATGACCAAACGAAGTCATGATGCTGCGCCAGGAGGCTACGGCACTCTCCATGCTCAATATGAAGTACCAGCAGGTGCGTGGCAGGTTTTGTATGGTTGTGTAAGGTCTTATTGAATTGAGTGAATACCAGTATGAAGNTATTTTTG